AGCTGAATTTTGGCACACGACAACAACAAAGTGTTACGAATAGATGGACAAACTTTCAAGTCGCGGGCTCTTGTAGTTTTGAAGCGAGGAATTTTTGTTTGACTACGTCCAGTTTTCATCTTAAGCGCGCATGGGCCTAAGTTTTAACAGCCTCTGAAAAATCAACACTTAGTTACTTTTCGCTGAGCTTTTGTGGACAAAAAGAGTCATGCCTTCTTAACAGATGGACGAAATTTGAAGTCGCTGCCTGTACAGCGCTTGAAGGAACGAATTTTTTTGTGGGGCCCTTCATATTTCGCTTTTGTTGCTCTTAAGACCATCTTTGACAACTCCTGCACAATCAGCCTTTAATGCGATTTGGCTGAGCTTTCATACATAGAACGAACCAAGTGTTCGTAGTAGACGGAGAAACTTTCAATTTTTTGAAACTGCAAACTTTCAGTTTCAAGCTTCACCGCTTTTGAGGACAACTTTAGCAACCGCTCAAAAATCCCCCCTGGATCCAAGAGAGCTGAATTTTCGCCTAAGGACGGCCACGATTCCCTGGAGGAGCTGGAGCGTTTTAAACCTCTGCTTAATCATGTTTAATTAATAATATTAATTAATTATCAATCAACCGCCTAAAAGTCATTGGCTAAGGCTACTAGTCTCGTGTGTCGCGCCATCTATACGGGCCACCGTCAAGCGCCACCCGCCTGTACAGTCTCCTGCTAGTGTGGGCAAATTTCAATTTGTTTATGTTTATTTCTGTCACAATTTCGCGTAAATTTCGGTTTGTAAACAAAAAAGCCGGCATTTAAAGGCTAAAAATAGCGAAAACCACTGCGAGGCCCGCATCAAAACGCTTGCGTCTTTAACAGACGCTTGGACCTGCAAAGAGTTAATCAAATCACATTTTCCCAGTTAATAAAATCTAGACAACTGTCCACATCTAGCAGGAACTTCGCAGGTGAGCAGCCCTTATCCATAGCAATTCATATACAGGTGGGACATGAATCGTTTAGATAGTTCTCCGGTGAAACAATTGTCCTAACCTTAAAGGCCTCGCATCAGTGGTCCTTATGTAATGTAATATGCAAAGCCCCGACTGCCGAAAGCCCCTTTATGTCTTCGGCTATTGCATAGATTTTCGCGATTTGTTTGAGTGCATTTATCTGCTGGTCAGTTTTGCGGCCTTTTGTTATGATCCAACCTTTTGATTTCAGACATGTTTGGCACTAAGCTGGGAGCTTTTCCGGTAAGTCGCTACTTTTATTGCTTACAAGCGGCCGTTAGAACCTTTCTGCATCTGCTGCGTTTGGAATTTACGCGGTAGTTAGAGTGGAGGTGCATCTGACAGGGCCTGTCATTTGCAGGGTTCTAAACAAAGAAGCTTTAGGTTAGATTGAAGCCCTAGGGTTTCAAGGTCGTGCCCGAAGGGCTCGGCACAACTCTAATGAATTTGTTGTCGAGCACTTCGGGTGCGAGACTGATTGAATTTTCGAGTCCAAGCCAGCCCTTTGCCAATTTTATATGCAGCATATCACTGAACTTTTTTTTTTATAAAACAACGATAGAAAAATTGATTATTTTTCATTTCCGATCATGCTTGATTGGTTGCTGGAACCAGACCCATAGATGTCTCTATGTTTAAGACGGTTTAGACAGCGAATGCGCATGTCGCAACTGTCGAAATGACAGCAACTTCCAAGCGGTTGAGTAATTTTGAAAATTTTCGGTGTTTTGGGCAAAAGTGCGTAGCTTGCAGCTCTTGAGTCAGCTTCAGTCAGCAGCTCCAAGTGAACCTTGGTCGTTTCTCCCACTTTTTCCCGGGCCACCAACAGGTGATGTATCCCATTGAACACCCTAACCGAGTTCATTGAGGGTGCCAACCCCAACCCCTTGGGGTTGAGCGGGAAGAGTACAGGCATGTTGTGGCCTTGGCTGTTGTAGCACTTGGTATCATCCCCAGCCATGTGCCAGGTGAACAACGAGCCCACCATATCGCATGTCAAAGTTTCCCATCAATTTCCAGTTTGCGTCAAGCGGTCAGTTCAGTGAGGATATCGGGTTCCACGAGGACTGTCTGGACAGTATGGAGCAAAACAATGGGGCTGGGGACAGTTGCGCGGGCGCCCTGGACAGAAGCAAGCTGATCGTCAACTACATTCCGCAGTTCGCCACCGAGGAGGACCTGGCGGTGATCTTCGCCCCCTTGGGGAACATAGAGAACATCAAAATAATGCGCGACTTCAAAACCGGCTACAGCTACGGCTTCGGCTTCGTCAAGTACTTCAATGAGGAGGACGCCGCCAAGGCCATCAACCTCCTGAACGGTTTCAGTTTCAGGTAAAGTAGAACCTGCGCTGGGGAACGCCGGAACTAAACTGGGCGGGTTTTCCTCGTAGAAATAAGCGGCTTAAAGTGTCCTACTCCCGACCGCCGGGCACCGACATGAAAGACTCCAACTTGTACATCACCAACCTCCCGAAAGATGTCACCGAGCAGGACGTGGAGAATCTGTTCAAGCACTACGGCGAGATCGTGCAACGCACAGTGCTCAAAGACAAACACACCGGACTGCCCAGAGGCGTGGCCTTCGTGAGGTAAGCCCCACTCCCGAGCTCTGATCACTTTGGAGCTGAGCACTTGTTTCGAAAGGTTCTCCAAAGGCGAGGAGGCGCAAGCGGCCATCGCCCACCTGGACGGCAAAATGCTGGACAATGCCGTGCTGCCGCTGAGCGTCCGGGTGGCCGAGGACCACGGCAGGCAGAAGGCGCAGTATTTGGAGGCGTGGAACCCGCTGGGCGGCGGAATAGGTGCCAGGGGTAAGAGGAGGCGGCTTTAATTGTTTCCAACTCAATGTTTTGTTGTGTTAGCCTACGGTTGGCCAGGTTGTTCTCGTCAGGTAAGCCGCACAGGGCGTCCAACCGTGGGGCGCGATGGTTACTTTGACTAAAAGCTGGGATAAAAAATTGAATGCGTTGGTCTCAGGCACGTCCTGGACGGGTTTCGATCGATAAATTACTGGTACCTGTTTTGGGAGTGTTATTTCCATGCTCCGCCCAGCGGATGAGCGCTAATGGGCTCGAAACCCGTCCAATTTCTTGCTCGTTAATAATGTTAGCCATTGGCCAGCTTTTAATGCGGTCAAGTCGGGCCTGAGAGCTTCCCGTGGGCCCCATTCGGCCAATGTATATCTATAAAAATCCTGGAATTGCAGCAAATCGTTCGCCATCAGGCCGCTGACTAATGAGGCATTTTCCTTAGGCTACCCCGCACTAACAAGAACAAGTTTAATGCCGTTTAGAGACTTGACGGTACCGTCTCGACCGATCCTACCCAGTAGATTTACCCGATTTCCCACCTATAACAATCCCGGCGTGCGAAACTTGGGAGCGGGGGACACCTACTTCCAAAATCCATTTTTCTATTAGAAAAGCTGCGGTCGGTGTCCCTCTCGGAACGTTTTTTTCTGTTAGCAGTCCCATCGCGGCCAGAGCCTTCCGCGGTTTTTAGTTGTTCTTGCGTGAAGGATGGTTTCAGTTGCGCTCTGGCTGCCGATGGGAAGGCGCCCGTTGTTTGTTACCTGTTTGTCATTGAGAAAGACTGTTTTGTTGCGTGAACACTTTTTTACTTGTTTCTACCGGAAATATCCGCTGAGTACCTAATTTTTTATGATTACCCATCAAGGAAAAGTCGGCTGTTTCAATCGAGTGAGTCGATTTTTCCGCAGCTGTTGAGCACTTTTTATTATCGTTTTACTAATATATAACGAGTAACTGAATCTAGGTTGTTAATTTCATTTCCGAACTGCGATTTGTTGTTAGAATGTTAATAAACCGTTCAGTGTATAAGGAAAATATTTATTACTTACAGGTACTTTACACAAGTCGGGTTTCGCGCTGGCCTCGATGGACTGGTTCAATGGCTGGACAATGGCGCTCGAAAATATATACACAAAGTAAAATCCAAAATAACAAAAAAGTCCTGGTTATCTTAAACTATGTACCAAACCGGGCCGTTCCTAGCTTCTTCTTCTCTTGTCTTTCGACCTACTTTCGGATCTATCCCTGTGCTTTGCCTTCTTCGAGCGCTTCTCGGCTTTGGCCGAGTACCGTTCTTCTCTGGTCCCGTACTTCTCTTCTCGCTCCTTGTAGTTGTCCTCCCTCTCCCTGTACTTCTCATCTCGTTCGTACTTTTTCGAGTTTCTCTCCTTGCGCTCATCGTACCGCTCCCTGTCCTCTTTGTGCTTGCCGTCGCGATCATCCTTGTACTTCCGTTCTCGATCATACTTGTCCTCGTACCTATCAATGTAACGGTCGTTCTTGCCCTCCCGCTCGTTGCTGTGCGATCTGCTGCGCTTCCGATCTCTGGTTTTCCGCTGTTTATGCGGCGTGTTGCTTCTGCTGCGCGAGTAACTTTTCCGCTTGCGGTCTTTCTTGTGGTTCTTCGGGGAACGCGTCCGCGATCGGTGCTTCTTTGACAACTTTTTATGGTGTCTCCGGTCTGGTGAGCGGGTTTCGGACCGCGATCGCGATCTTTTATCGTTCACAGGGGGCGGCATATGACTACCCGAACGGCTGAAAATAAGCATCCAGGCTACAGTACATCTACAATTAACTTCCTGGGCGCAATTTTGCGGATATCGATCGTTAATTTTTCATCTACCAGTTGCGTCAACTGCACTGACCGAAAACTCTGCCATTTCCGCGGATAACGACTTTGCTAATTAACAAGCGCAGCCCTCAGAAAGACGCCCAGTCAGTCTGTTGAACTAAACTCGAACTCACCTGATAAATCCGCCCCAGGCGTTGTGGGCGGACGTTTTCTGGTGCTCCTGGCTGTTGTTGTTCGGCGAAACGGCCCCGCTAGCGCCTTTCGTTTTGGCCCGCAGATTGCTCTTGTACTTTTCGCACAACTTCTCCACTTGTTGCTCCAGGTCTTCAATGTTCGACTGCAAAACAGGCCCCGTTATCACTGGCTGTTCGCCCAAAAAAGGTTCAAAAATGCCCACCTTTGGCCGGTTGTACAGCTTGAGGATCCTGATGCAAATATCGCGGATCTCTGGCTCGGAGGCCCCAAATATTGTGTACCAGTGTGGGCTCTTTGGCAGCGGAATCTTCAGCTTCCGCGATGTGAGGTAAATGCAGGCGCAGGCCACAGTTTCCGGTTGATATCTGTGCAAAGAGCGGAGTTTAGTCGACAATCGATCACAGTGCCTATCTACAATTAAAATACCTCACAAAAACGTCGGTCCTAAGCGAGTCGTTCATGTAGTTCCAGGAATATTGCATCAGCTTTTGGTTGTTTTGGAACCCCAAAACCTGCAGGTACATCACAATAATCTAAAAATAAAGAGTTTCTGAGTGAAATTCCCCAAAAATGAACCACTCGGTTGAGCACACAGTGAGTTGATCATTGGCTGTAACAGAAATGGCTTTACCTTGTGGGGATGCTTAATGTGCACGCAAAATCCAAGTTCCTTCAACACTCTCCTCTCAGCTTTAATGACCATGTTTTTCAAATGGATATAATTCTCGTCCAAAACAACCGGGTGTATCGGGCTGTGGGAAAAGCAGGAAATGTTGACAATTGCATTACGAAACTGGCACCGCAGTAAATAATTATAGTCTAGACAAACGGTTATTCTTGCACCTACAGCTAACTTGAAGCACAACTTTTTAAGTGATGAAAAAGGACGCCCCACCCTAAAGTTCTACTTTTACCTGTACAACCGTTATTATCCCACTGTTCTCTTTCTCTTCCGGGCCCCCAAATCACTGAATGGAAGAGGGAGATCTAAAAAAATCTGTAACTATTAGTAGATAGATAATAAAATGGGGCTGTTTCAACAAATGTGATCAGAAGCACATCGAACTTGCTTTCTCTCTTCATGGCTTTGAAGAGTCCAGTTCTCTGTCCATTCTTTTCATCCAGTTTCGATGCTTGCGCAACAAAATCGACATATTTTGGAAACGATATTATGTAGTACTTTCTTATCGCGATCGATTTACAGATTGGAAGAGCAAATATCTACTTTCAACTTTCAGGGCTGGCGCAGTTTACCACACTGCAGGACGTAACAAACGTAAAAAATGACGAATTGCCGAAGAAAACACTGTTCTTCTCGGGCCAATGTTCCCCCCATATTTAGCCCTGATGGTGGCTTAAATGACCGAACCGTTGCCCCAACAAGCAGTGTTTTCTTCGGCAAATCGTTGCTCGAAAAACACTTCACTTTCCTAACACCTTGAACATGCCAGTATTACCAAACAAACGCAGTTTTCCAGCCAACCTGGATGGTGCTGTGCTTTAAATGCGGCCCTGCTGATTTCTGGCTCCTCAATTGCACTTAAAATGTACGTTTTATAGAGTCAAACCACAAGCCCAACTTTGCTTAAATTGGCATTTCGTAATGGTTTATTGCAGAAACCACAATGAGCAGACGCGTTTCTAAATTAAGCAAAATTCGGCATTTTTAAAGCAAAAATAGTTCAGGTAGTCAGAAAAAAACCCTGGCAGCTTCTAAATTATACAGGGTGGTCCAAATGCAACAGCGCATTGTGCGTTTGGAAACTGAAATAATAGCTGCTATTCCGAAGCTACTTGAGATCAACAACTGAACTTCTGTACACGTTTTGCCAATATGTGCAGCCCCATTATGCACGTTAATTCACATGCAGTGTAATGTAGATTTTGGGACTGAGTGGAAAAATTAGCTCGCAAAAATGTACTCTTAGTTTACTCAAAGGCCTCATTATGGCCAAATGCAAGCGTTTCTAGCAGCAAGGCATGCATTAAAAATCAATATCGAACTGAGTCGAATCGCTAGCAACGTCGCAAAGTGCAATTTTTCTCTGAAACCGGCGAAATTAGCAAATTTGTCTAAAAATCATGCCCAATGTAAATTTGCCTTCAGGTTGGCATTTTCCTCAGAAGCTGGGTAAAATAGTCACTCAGCCCGAAAACCTGCAACGCCAAGATAAAAAGCGACCTAAGTGGCAATAAATAGCGGGAAGATGCGTTCAAACGCTCAGTCGATCATTTCAAATAGCTCCTGAAAAATTGCCTAAGCGCTGGTTAATTTGCGTAGAATAAATCAGGGCGAGTCCAAAGCTGAAAATTACAATAATTAAAAAATGAACGTTCTTACTTTGCTCTTAAACGTTCATTCCTCATCCATTTGCCAGATATCTGCAACATCCGGACACGGTTTACAGTAAAGAATGCGCAATTAAACTGCTACTGAACACTTGCTGGAAAGTTTCAGGCAAACTAGCGTTAAAGCTTAGAATTACCCTGATTTCCTACTTTACAATTAGACCTTAGCATAAAACGATATTGCTGATTACTCAGTGAAAACCTGCAGGTCGAGGGGGTGCAGTTCAATATCCAGAGCCACTTACCTCCACTCTGAAACAAGCAACTTTGCAATTCCAATCTGTAAACATTAGAGCAGTAGGAAAACGCTCATCTAAAATAACATTGATTAATAAAAGGCTCAATAGGGCCGGCATCGATTGGCTAATTGAAGGATAATCGATCAATAACCGAATACAATACCTTGCGTGTCCAGGTCGGGGCAACCACAAAATGAAAAATCCAAAATATGTCGTTTCATTGCGTGCAGTTTATGCTCACCCAGACTGACATGGCTCTATTTTAGAGCCAAGATCCTCAGGTCTCTGGATTTGGTGTTATTTTTTGACACACCCAGTACAATTTTTGGGGAGCCTCTGTAATAACAATAAAACTTGAGTACCTTTTATTTGTGCATCGTACAAAACAAAACCGATTCAGGAAAACATGTTTTAATCAACATTGTAATTAGCTGCTAATTGTCTTACTCACTGAATCTACCCGGTCTTACTGTGCGGTACATGACAATACATGTCCCATGATTAGGGCGGCGGCGAGTTAAGCTTTAATTCAGAATCAAAGCTTAACTGCTACACCTCAATACCTATTGATTCACGTGTAAAGCTCAGTTTGTTAGTGAGTTTTCAGGTGGCTGATATGTTCCAAATATTGGGCCTAACTGAGTTCTTCAACTCACAGTTCAAGGAATTCAATTGAGTAAACCTTCACATATTTTGAGGGGATCAGTGGGCGAATGCCCAGGAGTTTGGGGGCAATTGGAACAGGTTTCAATTAAATCACACCCCCTTGGGCGAGAAACGCCCAACTTTTAGCCCAAAACTACATAATTCCAGGTAACCTCCGCAGAACACAGCATGCATTCACTCTACCGTACAAAGCATAACCGACGTCGATAGGAATTTGGTTCTGGCGTTGCGTTAGCATGTCGTTTCGTCGGCAAAATGATACCTTTCAAGATGCTAGCGAAACGTTAGGGCCAAATAAACATTTCAACGCAAAGTTGCGTAGCATCTGGTAAATCCCGAATGGAAAAGCAGGTTTATTTAAGGCATTCGTGCCTGTGAAACGTAAGAATCAAGCTCCTGCGTTAAAGGAGTGTTACCTGATTGTCAGAGCATCAGAGACATTATTAACAAATCTACAACCTCCACAAGAGAAAATCATCAAAACTAACACAGTGAACAGGTTCCTCTAGGAAACGGCCTGCACTGTAACGAGCCCATAAACCTCTCACCGCTCAAAAAAAGTTATGCTTCAAGATTAAACTATCTAGAGCCGCCATACCAGCAGCTGATGCATGAACATTTAACACTTAATTAGAAGAAAAAATCATAAAAAAATTAAGAACAAAAAGATGATACTTACTTTCCAGAGTTCACTTGTCGGATGTGAGTGAAGACGTTTACAACGTCGCGCACCCTTCGGGGGGCTTCCTCAATTTTGGAAGCCAAACACACACAAGCCATTGCGGTGTGCTCAACTGGGTGCCTCACGAGGCTTTTTGAGTAATAGAACCTTTGCAGCAGCACCTGCCCAGTGGCCATTGCGACCTAGAAGAAGGCGGCCAAAACCAGCGTTAATAACTGTTCGGGGGAAGGATTTTATAGGTTAAGAGATGCTGAAACGAGGCGCCGCGGTAAGCTTTGGGTTAATGGAAAAGTGAACCCACCTGAGGCAGTTTCAGCAAGATCCCAGCGGTTTGGATCTGTTCGCAACCGTGAATCCGTAAATCAGTTTCCGCGTCCATACTGAGCCCGTCATTCTGTGACGGGGTGTTTGCCAGCTTTTCCTCGGGCAACAATTGGTTCTTCAACGTTAACAACACTTTGCCATAAGGCTTTACATTGTTCTTCAGCGGAGTTGGCTCTTTTTTCTCCTCTTTGGTGCCCATTTTTCACACCAAAACAACAAATAAACCTCTCCGCTCCACAATCACCAAATCAACATCCACAGGACAAGATGGAGGCTTCCTGGATTGTCAGTGTCACCAACGGCTGCGATTAGACACCCGGTTTGGTGAAAATATCCCTAGGATGCAACAGAGACAGTGGGAGAGCGACAGAGACGGACAGCAGTGCCAGGGGAAAATGTGTCAATTTCAAAAACCAACTGATCGAAAGGCTTAATTTATTTAATTACCAAACACTTCATCGCATTTTTGTCTTTGATTAATTTTTTATTTAGAAACCAAAATTCACGAAAATTGATTAATACACATGTTTCTTAAAATACTCTTTCAAATTTATTAATAAATGCATTTTAATGTGTTAAAGTGTATTATACAAAAAATTTACAATAAAAAATTTCCGAAAATTAACCCGATTCTTGCACTTTGCGCAGTATTTCGTTAAATTGCACTTAACCTTAATATTTTAGAAACCAATATAATAACCGTCTCCTATGCAGGATCATCCAAACTGAATAAACTGAAATAACTGGCTAAATGACCATTTAAAGACACTGTTTGAAGAGCCGTTGTTTTCAACACCAAAAAATACCCTTATTCCACAGATCAAAGAGGATTTTACGATAAAAACCCATGCTGCCAGCTGCATGTTTCTTACTATCAGAGCCCGTTTTTCTCAAAAACGGTTGAATTTAGGCTTTTGATGAAAGGGGCGTTTTTATGTAGAAAAGAATGCCTTTTCAAATGGTGCCTTCAAAGTTCCACTTTTGCTAATGGGGTAGAAGTTAAAAGCAACTGAATCCCAACAACCCCAAAATATACGGAAAAACTGACCAAATGCTTGTAAACTAGCTGCAAGCAACGGCGAAATCTGTACAAAAAGCCACTAGTCGGTTCCAAAGTGTTCCCGAATGAACGCGCTTTTAAACTTTATCCCTCGAGATGCACTGGAAACCAAGGGTCTAGTGATTAAGCCTTTAGTCCTGATGTCTCAGCAACCAATCAACTTACTGTAGCTGGGTTTTTTTTCGACTTTCCGTGTCTTAGAACAATCAGCGCCAAGTCCTTTTCACCAATCAGCCATTTACCTTGCAAATTCCACGTTTGCCTCCGTTTTGCAAAACGCGTCCGGAGGCGCCAAAAAGTCGACTTTCTCGTTTTGCAGCTCCTCCAAGTTGTGCGTTTTCCGCAAGTGCTGCTTTACGTAGGATTTATCGTTGAACTTCTTGCCGCACATGGGACAGTCGTAGGGTTTCTCCCCTGAATGGGTGTACAAATGGCGGGTGAGCTTGTTCTTCGCGTAGTAGGACTTGGGGCAGATGTGGCAGATGTACTTTTTCTCCTTGAGCGGGATCTTGATCTGGCCGAGGCCGATTGAGTGGATTTTGGCCATGTGCACCTGCAAACGATAGCGGTGAAACCCCATTGGAAGAAACCCCCTTGGGGAAGCAAACCTTCAGCACTCTTTGGTCCTTATACTCCCTGGCACAGTAGGTGCACTTGTACTCCCTCACGTTGGAATGTGTCCTCATGTGCCTCTGGAGCACGCATTTATCGGTGAACTTGCGCTGGCACAAGTGGCACTCGAACTTTTTGTCGCCAGTGTGTCTCCTCATGTGGCTGTCGTAGTTCGACTTGATTGGGAACGGTTTGTTGCAGATCTCGCAGCAGTACTTCCAAGTGGTCGAGTCCGTGTGCACAACCAGCTTGTGTGATCTAAAAAAAACTGCCCAGTCACTCAACTTCTAAGCCAGTGTGCTGCAATTAGTACCTGATATCTTTGTGGGTGTTGAAACACTTGCCGCACTCATCACAGCGGTACTCGCGCTTATTCAAGTGCTGCTTCTCATGGATGTTCAGATCAGTTTTCGTAATGAAGCCCTTGCCGCAGTACGTGCACATATTCGACCTCACAGCGTCGTGGTACTTGACATGCTGAAGCAGGTTGGACGAGTTGCAAAACCTGCTGGGGCACCTGCAAACCAAAGCCGTTAAAACCGCCGGCACCGATCAGCAGGCTCACCTATCACAGATAAACGGCCTGACATCTAGCTTCTGCATGTCGTGATCGCTCACGCAATGATTCACCAGTTTTATGCTAGAATTGAAGACCTTGTCGCATTTCTCGCAGGAGAACTGCAACTTTTTCCGCTTCTTCTTCCTCTGCAGGCCATAGCTGATGGTCTCTGGCTGATCGTCCTGGTCGCTGTTAGATGCTGCGTAGTCCTCAACTTCACTAGCGTCAGCCTTCTCCACCTCCTGCTCCTCTTTAACTTCATCCTTCAACTGCTGCGGGTACTCGTTCCTCTGGCGCTCCTCCTCGGCCCTCAAACAGGCCTCCCTGAAACTGTAGGCCACCTCTAGCAGCTTGGCACACTCTTCACATATGAAGTAGGATATTGGCCATTCCTGCAATTAGAATACCATGCAAAGAATTGATTTGAAGCCTGAGACTAACACTTACAATTTCTGCTATGCAAAACTGCAGCTTGGTGTGCCAGGAGACTTTGTTCGCGTCCTTGCAGGAGAGTTTGCTCAGATTTAGGGCTGCGCCCAAACACACGCAGCAGGTGAAATTCGTGTCCGGTCGAGGCATTTTTCGGGCCGCTGGCCTCACATTAGGAAATCCTCAATTAATAAGATGATTGTTTTGAAAACGAACTTCAACTTTGCAGGTTAAGAACAGCAACCAGCAACTGTGAGGTTGGGTTGGGGGGTTTTCAGCCAAATTTCCTGGGAGTGACAGAGAGGGACTGAGTAACAAGGTATTCCGGTTTCAGCTTATTGTTCGAACCTTTGGAGATTAATTCGCTAGCTTCCATGCATAAAACTGCGAAAATTACCTGAAAGTTAAATGAATAAAAAAGGGCCAAACAGGGCAATTCATAGCAAGATTTAAAATTATTAATCTTACCCCAGGCCACTAATGACATATCAACGGCAACATTGCCCGAGACAGTCTGGCCGATCTGACAGTGAAACGTTACAAATTTAAACGCCTCTAATCTTCCCGAGGAAAACGCTGAAATTGTGGAAAATGCAAAGGAAGGGTAAACCCGATGTCGAGCTCGAAGAGCAATTCATCCTCAGACTGCCCCAGGTATGTAAAAGTACGGGCCTTCGGCTCCCCATCTAAGGCCCCTTACAGCGACAGGCAGACTCAATTCGGACCATTCTTCGCACCAAGCCGCAAAAGCTGAAAAACACCCTGAAAATTGACCTCAACATCGCCACAGGAGTGGGCGCAGTCATCGTAGGAAGAAAGCGACTGTCGGCTTATCTCATTAAACTGCCCACAATCGTGGAATCCTACAAGACAAACATCGTTGGCGACCGTTCCACTCTGTTCAAAGTAAACTGCAATATTCCACACAAAGCCAGCGATTAAAGTGGTTTTGGCGCTATCCTTGCAGACCGCCGACATTACAATGATTGTGCAATGCACTGAAGAGCCCCTGAATCAATTCACAGCAGAGTCTCCGCACGGGTACACGTTGCCACTGAAAAATGTAAGGAGGAGACGCTTCAGGAAGACCCTGGTGAATCCTGAAGTAGCTGAGGAGGCTGAAATGGTTAACAGGGAGTTGTATTACTTGCTCAGCACCGATCTGCAAGCGGTGAGTTCAACTCAGCTACACCCATTGGAAGGGTTTTGAACTAGTCCTTTCAGACTTCCACCAGATTTGAAGTCCAGTATGAGAACGGCCCGCCGCAAACGAGTTGCCAATTCGGTTAAAAGCTTCCGTAGTCCACTCCTCTAGTACTAATTAATTAACTTTCCAGAGAAGTTGCTGTTTGGACAAGTGTCGTCCAGCGATTCGGAGATCGATGTAAGTTTTCTGGTTTTCTTAAATTTGTTGGCAACCTGCGCGTTTTATAGGTGGAGGACTAGGATGGAGAAGACTCCTCAATTTTTTGTATTTTTATTAAGTAAAAACAGACTTCCTCTAAATTACTCACTAAGTTTGCGCTTCTTTTTGATCCTCTTTGGAGAGTCCCGGTTGCCGTTTACTGCTATGCTGTGCCGATTGCTTTTGCCGATTTTTTTAGGGCTCGGTGTGGTGGCCTCTTGGTCGCTCTCCTCAGCTTCCTGGGGCTCCACGTCCTTAACCTCCTCCTCCACTGAGTTGGCAAACTCCGCCGCGTGCTCCAACCCCTTGCTCAAGCTCTCCAACCTCAACTGCTTGGCCTCCTTCCTCAGCTTGAGAGTTTCGTTGCTTTTGCGCTTCCGCTTCTTCCTGCGCTCCTTTGGTTCCTCCTCTTGGTCGTCGCTATCATTTTTCTCCTCAATGAGGGCGGGCAGCTTGGTGACGTGCGGCTTCATGGGCACCACGTTGGAGATATTGAGCAGTTTGCACAGCTTCTTGAAAGCCAACTTGGCGTCACTGGAAAACGACTTGTAACTTCGGTACTCAGTTACTTGATGGGCGATTTCCGGCCAAGAAACCTCACTCAGCTCCAGAGGGCTTTGCTTCATGGCGGCGAGTAGATGGAACAAATTACAGATGAACCGCTCCTTAACGTTGCGGTTTTCCGGGTTCTCGCACAGGCCCTGGAAGTACTCCACTATGCTGGAGGAGAAGTGCTGATGCGCCTCGGCCATTTTGCGCTCCACTTTGGCCTGGAACTGGCTGAAGAACCGCTGGTTGGAGTAGAAGAGCTTCAACAGCTCGGCCACTTGGTTCTTTTGGTACTGTCTGACGTCCGCGCTGAATAAGAGCTCCTGCAAGATGATGGCGAGGCCAATGTTTCCCTCCCAGCATTGTTGCAGGATGTTCTTGAAGAGCACGTAGGGGGTGAGGCAGTCGCGTCTGGTGAGGAAGCTTTGCAGCTCCCCACTGACCACTTCCAGAATCGCCGCCCTGAGGCGTTTCGCCCCTTTGCAGGCAGCACCCAGAATTTGCGAGCACTTGATAACGAAAATGCAACACTGCGAAATTTGCTCCCCCATTTCCTGCACAATGAGCGCGTTTTTGCTGCCCTTGTCCAACAGGCTTTTGAAGAGGTCCGCCAGGATGGTGTGATCAACGCCCTCAATGTTGTCGAACTTTTTGAGGCCCAGCAGCTTCTTGAGCACGCTGCGCAGCCGGTCGTTTAGCGGCTTCTGGTGCTCGTCGCGTATGCTGAACTCCACCGACTGCAACAGCGGCAGCATGATCTCCAAGGTGAGCAGCATGGAGGGGCTGGAGTTCAGGTATATTTCTATCAGATCCAGCACTCGAATGCGGAAATGCGTGAGCGTTTCCTGATCTTTGCTCTGCTTTTTCCTTCGGCCGCGGTTTGGGCGGAATTCCCGGAAAGCTTCGCCTAGCGCCTGGTCCAAGCGCTCCCCTTCAGTGTCGCTCATGTCGTCCAAGTCTACACTTTCGTTGTCGTCGTTGGTCAGCACTTGATGCAGCGCCATTCGCAGTCGGTCCGTTGCAGACTCCGGTTCCCCGTCTTCTTCCGATTCGCTCTCGGGCTCAGAATTTGAGTCGTTTGACTGTTCATCTACCTCGTCCTCCTCATCCTCAGCCTCCTCCGCTTCGGACTCTTCAGAGTCGCTGTCCACGGTTTTTGACAGGGGGTTTTCGTCGTTGGTCGGGTCCAAAACGCTGACGATTTGGTGAATGGTGGTGGAGTTCATATAGGTGCACAAATGAGGGAATACGCTGCTGATGATGCTCCGGAGTAGGTGGGAGTTGTGCGAGAGCAGGTTTAGGAAGAGATCGACGACGACTTCCGTCCAATAAGGGTCGTCTTCCGACTCGGCGGCAGGTTGCGCCTTTTTATCCTTCTTCACCCTGTCGTAGCAACTAAACAGCTCTTTGAGCGAGTCGCTGGCCAGTTGAACATCGTTGAACAGTTGCAGCCCCATGTGCAGGAACAGCGTCAAAAAGACGGCCTTGATGCCGCCCTTTTTCTGCCTGTTCTCGATCTTCTCCACCTTTTTCATGGTTGTTTGCCACAGCTGGAATGTTTCCGAAGATATGGGGTTTCTCAACTCGGTTTCCAGGTTTTCCTCGTTGATTTTCGCGCTCAAATGCTGGGCCAGCTTCAGCAGGATCGACTGAAGCTCCTCTAGCTTGGACAGCTTCAGGTCCAAGGCCCCGTAGAAGGCGGCTTTAAGGGACTCTGCAATTAAAGGGCGTTGAAAACTTTTGCATTTGACTGAAGCCACCACACTTACCGGCTAGTTCGCGTCCAACATTCATGCCGTTGGTTCCCTTCAGCAAGGAAATCTCCAGTAGGAAAGTGAGCTGTTCTACCTTCCAGTCGCTCTCGAGCTTCATGGTGGGCAAGTTGAGCAGCTTGATGAGCAAGTGGGCGCTGTACAGCCGGTCGTTGTTCAGCCACGTTTCACTTTCATTCTCAGAGTTGATGCTCTCGGTCCCATCCACCACTCCCTTGTAGACGGCTGCCAGCTCTTTAACTCCCTCCGCGTCCAGACTCTGCGTGATTTGCTGGACCACTTTGCTTTTCGTCACTTTTTCAAACACAAACGTGCCCGGGTTAAACAGGAACTTCCTGATTACGGCTATTTTCAGGGCAGAAGTAGCGTGCTTTTCCTGGAATGCTTCAATAAGCGTCTGGAACATTTTCTGGACAGCTTCCCGATACTCGTTGTCTTTCTGGTTGCCCTTGAAGGTCCGGAAGTAGCCCAGGAGTTGCCGAATGAGGTTGTCCGTAAATAAATCGGCGGTGTGGTTGAGCAACTGCGGCTGGCGCAGCGTGATGGTCATTATTTTGATAAACACCAGCAGTCGGTTGCGGTTGGGCGTTTTGAGGTGTTTGTCCAATTCGTCGAAAAAACTGCTGGTTACATCAGGAGTGAGAAGCTTCACTACCGCTTCAAATGCTGGATGCTTCAAAGAGGTCACTCGCGGAATGGTCATGAGGATCTTGCATAAGGGCTCCAAACTGTCCGGGCAAATTATTTCGCGGGTGCCTAAACCCTCGGCTATATGCTTCTTGGAGAACAGTGCCGGATTTAACAGTTTGAGGCTCAAGACCAAGTAGAGTGAGTCCAGGGTCTGTTCTGCCCAGGGCTTGAGCCCTTCCTCCCGTAATCTGTTCGAGAAAACTGCGTCGCCCCTGATAGCAGGGTCCTGGAAAAGTCGCAATTCTTCAAGTTAATTAAGTTTTTGCAGTTTTAAGCATACACTGATTTAGAATAATCGTTTCTCCAGAGTTGCTCTCTTAAAACCGAAATATTTAGGAGTCAAAATTGGTTGAAGAGTTGTTCAGGTAAAATTGCAGCGGTTGACTTACCGCGGCAACAAGATCGACGATAAAGCTGTACGCAAACAGCCCCAAATACACGCGCTCTTTGGCGGCTGTAAGCACAAGGTTCAGCAGATCCTCTTTTTGTTTGGAGCTGGCTCTCTTCCATAGATCAGTGCGGGCTGCCGCCCCAAAGGCCAGAATCTGCCCCGACCTTATATCCGCATTTTCCTTTAAACCCACATAGATTAGACCAGCTGAATAGCCTTAAAATGCCATCAAGCTTACCGCATCGCTATTTTTCCTTGAGGTGTGCAGCTCGGTCTCCACCAGATCTAATATATCGCTGGGATTGATGTCCTGCCTCAAGTTCAACAAGGCCACCAACGTGCTGTAATATCCAGCTCTAGCTACGAAGGTTGGGGACCCCAGCCCCCTAACCAGCCTCGCAAGTGCGTATTTCAGCTCAGCTTGGCCCTGAATTAGTACAATCGGTTAAATTGCCGCATGTTGGAACTGCATAGATAACCTTACCTCGGAGTTTTTCGCAGTTTTCACCAAGTAATTGAGTAGAGAGGAGCCGGCTTTCACTCGAACATTCTCGTGGGGGTTGATTAACTTGCGGAAAATGTCCAGGATAGTTCTTTCAACCTTTTTTACTGTATTTTCCCCATTTTCCTCCTTAACCTCGGTCTCCTCCATGTCTGCAATGTGCCACAGAAAAACTTATTTAAATTGTTGGTTAAGGTCATAGAGTAAGTAAAATTTTACTTTCTCTATGGTTAACGTCACAGATTACCAAACTATTCTCGAACAAACTAACCTCACAACTCCGCTTGTCATAAATGTTTACATATCAACAGTAGATTGAAATTGGATCTTTACATAGTGTAGCAAAGGGGATTTTGGGGCCATGAACAACGAGTACGCATCCCGACTCCTTCCCCCTGCCAAGGAAACCACACGGGCAGCATGCAAGAAATGTGGCTACGCCGGCCATTTGACCTATCAGTGTCGGAACTTCTTGAAAGTGGACCCCAACAAGGAAATAGTGCTGGATGTGAGCAGCACTAGCAGTGACTCCGAACTGGATTATGTGACTCCTCTAACTCAGCTCCGTAAAGAGGAACTGGGCGACAAGTTGAAGAAGAAAAAGCGCAAGAAATCCTCTAAGAAGCATAAAAAAGACCACTCGACTGATAATGACGATTCGGACTCAGATACTGATGAACCTAGACGGAAAAGGAAACATTCAAGGGAGAGAAGTGGCCACCAGGACGAAGCAAAGAAAAACAAGAAAAAGCATAAGAAGCACAAGAAGGCAAAAAGTTCCAAGTCTCGAGACAGCAGCGATTAAGTCACGTAAGAAAAGCAATTAAACATGTTGCGGCTATAAAAGAAAATATATTTTCGTCCAAGCTACTTTAAAACTTTAAATAAGGATATAGTAAAATACTCTATAACTGCTTATCTCTAGATAGTAACGAATAATCAGGCTCTGTTACCTATTTTGTTTCAATTGCAATAATTCAAATAACCAACCCGGCTTTCTGTCTGCATTTCTGCATGAGAGCGCGCAGCATAAACTGTTTTCTCGACAGCGCTCTGACCTGCCTCAAGAACACATCCAGGTCGACCACTCCACACCTCAAAGCCTCCCCCATGTAGTAAATGGCGTCTTCGTGTGCTGCTTCTTCCGCAAAGGCATTGAGCAACCTATGGCGGAAAGTGAACTCGCTCATTGAACCTCCAGGATGAATTAATTAACTAGTTACTGTTTGTATAAGGGGGCCGTGGTTGTTACTGCATCATCCACGTCAATGGCTTCTTGAGTTCCAATCTTTTCAATGGCCACGTTCAGCTCCTGCTCCTTGTCTTTCAGTAGAGTCACGTTTTTCTGCAGGTCATTCTAAACACCGCTCAATTATTAGCCTCTACTTTAGCGTTATTCTCTGCCTGGTCCAAACCCACCTGTTCCTTCTCCAGCCTGCTCAACATGGCGTCCAGCTTGGCCTTGCCTTGCTTCAGTTCTTCCTGGGTCCTTTTGAGCGTCTGCAATTCGGCCTGATTTTGGAAATACTGCTCCTTCATCCGCCTCAGCAGTTTCTCCTCAATGGCCGTCAGCAGCGACTCACGAATGTGCTCGTCCTGAAAACAGCTCTGCGCTTAAGGGCTGATGTTCCATGGGGCGCTTAACAGTTGCATACCTTAATTGTCCCACTGCTGATGGGAACATCAGCCGCCCCAAAGTTCCCTGGCTTGGGAAACCCTTGAAACGGACTGTTGGGGTAAGGAGGGAAACTGGGGAAGGCATTATTAGTGGTCGGCGGGTAAAAAGGAAAGCCCGGCTTGTTGTAGGCGCCAGGCATGGGGTAAGGGGTGCTGGACGGGTAGGGCGGCCCCCCATAACTCGTCGGTGTCGGCAGGAAAGCTTATTAAAAACCAATTGTACTTTGAGCTTCCGCAGGAGGCATGCTAACTTACAGTCATGTGGATAAGGCAGACTGTTGCTTTCCTTTGGCCTGGCAAACACAGGGGGTTGATCCCCAAAGGTCACAATCATCACCTGGATCAGGCCGATCAGGTCAGAAGCACTCTGAAAAAACCTTAATCAGTTCCACCGCCCAACATCCAAAGGGCGACACTTACAGGAACCCAGTCATGCAAATAGGGCAGATAAATCTTTCCATTCTGGTCCACGAACATCGACACTTTAACCGCCATGTCTGGAGTGGGTTTCACATAGCAAATGGGCGCGTTCTTCGGGTGCGTGTCAATTAACCAAATGCAAATGGGAATGTTGTACGTCGACCCTTTGTAAGTGACTGGAATTGTTCCTGATAAATTAACCAAGTCCATGGTGGTGCCGTCCACAAAAGCTGCAACAAAGAGGCAATTAGGACAGCAGCAAATCACCCCTAGCCAGGCTGTTACTGTAGGAGTCCTGCTGCGGCTGTAGCCCTTGGTAGTGGTTCACTGCATTGTTGATGTCCCTGAAAGTGGAGTCCGGGTTCTGGTACTGCAAAAACAGACAATTTAAGCCGCCCGTTGCACAAGCGTCCAGTACTACCTTCGCTAGCCATTGCCGCAACTTTGCAGGGTCGATCATTTTCGGGAAAATGGGGCGCAAAACACTCGGCAGAGATTTGGGGCTTTTACAAACTTGTCACTGTCAGAATCAGATGGGGCGTTTGAAAACAATGAGCCATTGCGATGTTGCCGCTGACTGTTATTTTGACTAGACATGTTTGGAATTTGGGCACTTGATTGATGTGATGTTGGTTTGTTTGCAGGCGCCGACAACCTGGCTACAAGATCTCTGACAGATGTCAAACGTTAACCATACGCGTTTAAACTAACCGTCGATTTTAGTTGCTAACGGTTTCAGTGCAATTTTAAACACTTTGTGGGTGTTTTTTTGGGATTATCCAATCAGGGGCCCAACAGGTAAGTTGAGTTCCTTTACAGTCACCCCTTTATAAGGGACTAACGGCCAAGTGGTTGCTGTTGTAGAATAATGCATATTCCTAGGGAAGCTTCTGTTGTTTTTAACCCTTGTTTTTGGCTCAGACTGAGTCGATAACACCAATCTGTACAAAGCAAGTTGCTAGTCCATGCTAGTTGCACTTGAGGATACACGATGGATACCCCATTCAAAACTCCCCAATCTCGGATTCTAAAGCGGTCCAACGAAGCCATCTACACTCCCAGAGCCCTGTCGGAACGCTCGGATTCAGATGAAAGCATCAGCTCCAAGAGTTCCAAGTGCGGTGAGTAAACTCGCGGCCTCCAAGCAGGCAGACGCCATAAACGCCTCTTGTGCTTAGGCTCCCTGTCTGACCTGACTGTGGTGGCCCTATACGACGACCTGATGCGGCTCATGAGCAATAAAAGGGACAAAAGGACCGAAAGGTCATTTGAGGCGTTCGCCCAAGAGTCGCAGCTGCTCTTGGAACGCTACTGCGAGCTGTTCCAGGAGTGCCAAAGGCTGCAGGCCCTGGTCAACCTAAAGGTGGACGAGTGCAGCGAGTCGGAGCACCGGATGAACAATGCACGCCTCCTGCTCGACGAGGAAAAGAAGAAAACCCGGCGAGTGCTCCACGAGAATCGGCGCTTGGTAAGTCGTGATGTGGACACTTCCAGCTGAGATTACCGATGGTTCTTTCAGCAAGAGCAACTTGATCAGGTGAAGGAGCTGTTGTTGAAGGACAATATGAAGATCAACGAAGAAGCCAAGCAAAAGTTATTGTTTTTGGACAATCACAACGGATGTGAGCGCAACCTGAGGAACCTCAGCCGCATCAACGAAGTGAACTCCACGGGTTCAATGCTATCAGAATTCAGCTTTTCGCAGTCTGAGAATGGGTTGGACACCTCGGAACACCCTTGCAACAATAATGAGAGGGTTTGGAAGAGGCGAAGCGGCGCTGCTGGCGAAACGGACCCCCCCGTGAAGAAGCGAAAGTCCGGCCACAAAGCCGTTGAGGTAGTAGTGGTTTAGGGGCTGTTTCTTCAATGTCTTATGCACATTTTTCAGATTGGTGTCGCTGATACGGTCCGAACCACCACAACAGTAACCGTCAACAAAAAGGGCCCCATCACAGCCACTTCCGTGATTGAATCAATCCCCTACACAAACGGCACTGACTCCGAAAAGCCAACTCCGTCCAGTGTAAGCGCGACTATTTCTTAATGCAACTGCATTGCACCTTTTTGATGTGACTTTAATAGGATGATGGGATCGGGTCGACTGCCCCCAGCATGCCGCCCGCGCATATGGTGTTTGAATCCTGGGCCAAAAACTCGAGCCCCGCCTGCAACCAGCCTAGAGCTCCAAAGCGTCAGCATTCGCTGCAGCAGAAGACGCTAATTGGGGGCGATGTGTGCGCTTGTTGTCAGAAGAAACTCCGGTAGGTTTTTGCCTGGTTGGGCCCGAATTTTGTTTATCACTGAGCTTTGTAGGTTTGGAAAAACGGCGCTGAAATGTAAGGAATGCCGGTCGCTGTGCCATACTGAGTGCGCGGACTTGCTGCCCCTACCCTGTGTCCCTTTGGTGGACACTCCCAATCACAAAAACCTTTTGGTAAGTTTTCCCCCCGTTCTCTGTGGTGGTTCTGACGATTGTTCCAGAAGGTGATCAGCAATTACGCGCCCTCGCAGTCCCCCATGGTGCCCGCCCTCATTGTGCACTGCACCAACGAGATCGAGCTGAGAGGCTTGAAAGAGTTGGGACTCTACCGGATATCGGCCTCTGAGAAGGAAGTGCGCTCTTTAAAGGTAGCTAGAGAGTTAGAGCCCTTAATCGACCGCCTTCTCAATCGAACACCCCTATAGGAAAAGTTCCTGAAGGGACGCGGCTACCCATCAATTGTCCAAACAGATATTCATGTGCTTTGCGGATGCGTCAAGGACTTTCTGCGTATGCTCACGGAGCCACTAGTGACTTATGGGCGTTGGAAGGACTTTGTCCATGCAGTTGAAGCCAAGGATCAGCAGGACGTCGTCCCAGCTTTAATTCAGTGCGTTTCTGAGCTGCCGCAGCCCAACCGCGACACTCTAGCATACATGATGTTGCACTTGCAAAAGTGAGTAGCAGGCCCGATTGGCCCTGGAAGTTGTTTATGGGGAATTGTTGCAGGGTGGCCCAGGCGCCCGAATGCAAGATGCCCATCGAGAATTTGGCCAAAGTGTTCGGCCCCACCATCGTGGGGTATTCGTCGGACAACCCCAGCACCGAGACTCTGATCTCAGAGACAATGAAGCAGATCAAGGTGCGTTTTCCGCATCGCTCTAAGGCATTTTCCACTGTGTGTTTCTGGCATAGGTGTTGGATTGCTTGATCCGGCTGCCTGGCGATTATTGGGCGCGCTTTGTCGATGTGGCCCCTGAGCCGCCAACCAGCGGCCTCATACAGACCCCCAGCACCGATTCGCTTTTCCTCGCCAGACTATTCACACCGAATGGTGCCAGGTAAGTTCTTAGCGAAACTGGAATATTCCCGGTTAATTGCTTCATTTTAGATCCACAGCGAAAAAGCAGCGATATTTCCATACACCACCCGCGTACAAGCTATAGGAAATAATCTAAGCTCGCCTTTTAACCCATTTTTTTAATTTTATACTCTGTACCGGTTTATTGATCTGTTTTTGCCTACTTCGCGAAATATATTTTCGATTTTCAATAATGAGATGTAGTCGTGAATGACGTCATATCCTCTAATGGGTCGCCCTTTTTGATTGTGAACTTGCTGCGCCGTCTGTTTTGTTTTCGCCCCCTATTGGAATTTTGGCAAAGGTGATTGGAACGTAGTGCTCGAATGGTTCAAGTGCTGTACAGTGCCAGGAAAAGCAGCGAAAATGGGGAAATTATGCTGGAAAATGCGTCGCTTGGTGTCAGGGATACGCTCTGGCTATGGAGAACTGCGGTAAGCTAAGATTTTCTGTTAGTTTATGAAATTTGTCTTGCGGACAAGGATCTAGAAGGTAGCAGTTCTTATTCGAAACGTTTGTACCAAAAACTGCCTAAATGGTGCCGTAAGTCACTCACGGCTCGAAACGCATGTTTCTGAGGGGTTTTGGTAATTTTTGCAAGGTTTTTGAAAAATTTTGACAACTCCGTCGTCCATCTTGGACGCGGCAATATCTCCGTTAGTTCAAAAGTTCAGACGCCCACTGGTGGCAAAAATTATAATTACAAGGTAAGTAGTAATTTGACACTAGTTTTGTTTGTTGACATTGGTGTCACATTGGTGTTTACATTTGATTATGATTTGTTTTGTTCTAATCAACTTTATCCTTCCTTTATCCGCCACTAACATCTATACTGTGAGTATGTGCAATAAAGCAACATTCTTCCTAAATCGGGCATTATTCAGATGCGCTCTGGACTCGCGCAATAACACCAGAGAAGGCCACACGACGGTTTGCATTTATTCTTATTAGTAACGTCCGTACATTTAATATAAACAGTTTAACATTTTAAACAATCGATGATTTACGTGCTTTCTGGCTATACCCGATAGGAGTTTGGTCCTGACGTAAGTAGCTAGCAAGTTGCGCATGAACACACCTCTGAAGACGCTAACCAAGCGAGCTAGAGAAACATCAGCAGCAAACTCCTATTGACGACGGCCTGCCACCGGAAACTAATCAAACGTTCGGATAGAGACTGATACTTTCACAGATACCGACTAGAACTATATACATAAGTACTTAACTAAGCAAAAGGTGTAGTGATGAATTGGGCCTACTTGCGTCGCACCCTGTTCAAGTAGTGCTCCTTGATGAAGCGCGCCCCCCGTTCAGCCACCATGACAATGGAGGCCTGCGGATTGGCTGAGGGCAACGTGGGGAACACGGACGCGTCAATAACTCGCAAACTGTCCACTCCGTAGAGCTGCAGCTGCTGATTTACGCAGGATTCTGGATCGCTGCGTCTGCCCATCTTGCAGGAACTTCCCTGGTGGTTCTCGTGGCCCGTCTTCACTTTAATGGCGCACTCCCAAAAGTCGTCCGAGTCCCACCTGGTTGAAGCACGAGGAAGTGATCGACCATGAGTAACTATCAATAGATACTCACTCGTGTTGCTCGCTGCAAGATCCATACGAGTCCTTTTCCAAGCGCATGTCGTACTTTTCCCTCAAAATCGGGGAATTGATCAGTCGCTGCGCGATCCGAATGCCCGCCCTCAGACCAATCACATCCTCCTCAGCTGTGAGGTAGTTGGCGACGATTTTTGGGGGCGCAAACGGGTCTTTGGAGTGGAGCCCCAGGTAGCTAACCGCCCATACAAAGAATTAGCCTTTCTCTAGTAGAGGGCGCACTAGGGGCTAACTCACCCCTTGCTTTTGCTGTGCAAATAGGTGGGGTAAATCGAGACATGCGTTGTCTGGTTGTCGTCAGTCAGCTCGTCACTTAGTCCGCTTTTTGCGCACTTGGGGCCCAAGCCGAAAAAGTAAAACTGGATGTCTGGATCGTCGGGCGTTGCCTGCTCCGAGTGGACCCTCGCCGTTACCTGCAGACAAACAGGAGTCTCAACTAGGCCTGGATTGTGATGGAATGAACCTCACCTGGGCAAGCCCAGTGGAGCTCATGGGCCCTGATTGGTTCCGGACGTACTCAGAAACCGTCTCCATGTTCAGTGAGTTGAGGCTGGCCTGGTTGATTGAGGCGACCAGTTCGAAGGACACGTGATTCTGCAGGCCCTTTCCCACAGCCGGCAAGTCGTGCACCTGATTGAGAACGAAGTTAGACAAATTAGAAAAATCAGAACTTCTTACCTGTTCAATCCCCACAGCGTCCAGAGTCTCCTTATCCCCAATACCAGACAACAGGAGGAGCTGGGGAGTTTGCACAGCCCCAGCCGATAGGATGATTTCCTTGGAGGCTCGAACGGTAAACATCTGGCCCTTGTAGGCGAATTCAACTGCAGACGCTCGTTTGCTAGCGCCTTGTGCATGCAGCAGGATTTTCGTCGCTGTTGAGTTCAGCATGATGTGCAGGTTGGGGTTGGAGCGGTGCGGGCGCAGGAAGGCTTTTGCCAGGCTCAACCGCATGCCTTTCCTAAGGGATTCCATTTGATTAATGGAAATGTGCAGGTTTTTCAAGTGTCTGGGTGCTTTTCTGGGTTTCTTGGTTCAAGTGTCTTCTATTAGCTGATTTTTAAGGGGTTGTTTGTGGCAGACTGGAAGTTTCGAGTTTTTCACGCGGTGGGAGCACGTGAGTGAAAACCGTAATTTTTGGTTCACCAAGTTGCCAAAAATCGGGAGTTGGTGCCAGTTGAGCGAAATTTTCAGAATTTGCAGTTTAAACTGTTATCTCGAGTTGGTAACACTTTGAAGTTTTCATTTGCAGTCGGTGGGAAGATACAAATTTTTTAACCTGCGAAGGCATTTGATTTCGAATGTTCAATTTTAGTGCAAGATTCACCAAGTGGGTAAAACTCCGGAGTAGGTGGAATTTAAGCGAAACTTTCAGCATTTGCGGCTTCAAGTGTTCTCTCGAGGTAGTGAAAGTTTCAAGTTTCCACTTCAGCTAGATTGAAAGTTACGCATTTTGTAAGCTGCGAGGGTATTTGAGTGAAAACGTTAATTTTCGGTTCAAAATTCAAAAAGCCGCCAAAAATCGGAAGTTAGTGGAATTTTAGCGAAATTTTCAGCATTTGAAGACTGGAGCGTTCTTTAGAGGTGGCGAAAGTTACAAGTTTCCAGGTGAAGTTGGTTGGAAGTTACGAATTTTTTTACGCGGCGAGAGCACTTTATTAGAAATGTTCAATTTTAGTCCATTATTCACCAAGTCGGTAAAAATCCGGCGTAGATGGAATTTAAGTGAAACTTTCGACGTTTGCAGCTTGAAGTGTTCTTTCGAGCTAGTAAAAGTTTGAAGTTTCCACTTGCAGTTGGAGGAAAGTTACGAATTTTTTAAGCTGGGAGGGTATTTGCGTGAAAACGTTAATTTTCGGTTCAAAATTCAAAAAGTCGCCAAAAATCGGAAGTTAGCGGAATTTTAGCGAAATTTTCAGCGTTTGAAGACTGGAGCGTTCTTTAGAGGTGGCGAAAGTTACAAGTTTTCAGGTGAAGTTGGTTGGAAGTTACGAATTTTTTTACGCGGCGAGGGCACTTTAGTAGAAATGTTCAA